ATGGAAAGGACACTTACAGCATCTGCGGCCTCTCACTTTAGGCAACTCTTCACCTCATTGTGCCCCATAGGGTGTACTTTATGAACTACTCCTGCACACCACTAAACGACCTTCTGATTCCATGTCAGTTGCCGTCACACAGCCCATCTGTATTCTGCATCTGAATATTTGTTTGCTTCACCACGCGCCTTTAAAGTGTTGTATCAGTAGCCACTCCCGGAGCCTGGAACCACACTTGCTTTGCCCATCTGATGGCGTGACCAGCCCTGCAGAGAGGTGGCTAATGAAGGCTGGTGGCTGGGGTGCTGATGTTTGAGGTTCGCTCAATGAGGTGTTGTCTGACTCCGCTCTGGCTATTGGAGAGGAGGCCCAGGACCTGGGAGGGTGAGGACAGAGAGTGTATAGCTCTGAGTCCCCGTCTGCTCCCAGCTCTGTGCAAAGCTTCCCTGCCCTTGGCTGAGATGAGAACTCCTGATGAACTGGGTGCAGACAGGAGCAGATGGCAGATGCGGCTTGTGCCTTGCGGATGGCCCTGCCAACAAATCAAGACGAGCCACCTGCCCACCCCACTCAGATGAAAAGACCAGGGAATTGACTTTTTTTATTTCTTGGCTACATGTGCTTTGGGGGAATCCCTGGTTTCCTTGGTAGCAAATAATCTTCTGCATTTTTACAGCAGAATATTAGGAGCCACAGAATGGGCTGGCCTTGGGCTAGGCGTGTACGGGAAGTATACAGACAGCCCAAATCTGTTAATTTACTTGATGATGTACCATTTCCGCTCTGGTTATTTTAAATGTGGAAAGGCTTTTGTCTAGCTCATGGTAGGCCAGGGTGTCACTGTGTTCTCACTGCTACCTGATTCGCAGCCCTTGGTCACTTATTTCACCTTTAAGAGGAATTGACACCAGGGTCACGGTCAGGCAGTGAAAGGGAGGGGCAGGAACCCTCACTCCATCAACTGCCAGTACAGTCTTCTCATCCCGATTGGCTGAGGCTGATGAAATGTGAAAAAACTTTGTCCTTAAGCGTCACCTGTTTAAGTCTTTACTCGACAGATGAGGAACTGAGTTCACAGCCATCAGATGACCGGAAAACGCAGCTTTAGCTGCAGATCTGAGATGGGGTTCAAATCTGCACCAAGCTGCAGGCTGGGGCAGCCACAGGGCAGGCAAACTGGGTGGGGGCTTATGTTACACATACATCTGCGGTCACACAGTCACAAGAGGACAGATGACTCCATAAGCCCTGTGTTCAAGCTACACGCACCACTCAACCACCTGGTGACCTGGAGCACATTATTTAACCTTTCTGAGTTTCCATTTGCTCACCTGAGACAGACTCAACTTTACAGTTACTCTGAGGACTAAATCAGACTCACTCCATAGACATTTCAAAAAGAAAAGCAACATATACCTATTATTATCCAGATATCCAGGGAAATCTAGGGAACCCTACCATGTCTATAATTTTTTTCTCCTATTTAGCTCATTCCCCTTATCCTTTAGAGATCACCACCTAATAGAAATAGAACATGAGCCACAAAGTAAGCCTGATAGAAAATTTTAAGTTTTAGTCACCACTTTGAAAAAGGGGAAGAGATGAAGTTCATTTAATTTTGTTTTCTTGAACCTCACATATCCAAAATATTACCAGGTCAACATGGAATCGAGTCATTAATAAGCCATTCTACACTCTAAAACAATGTGTATTTTATACTAACAACACCTCTTAATCTTAGTCTGGAATGCTCAGTGCAACCTGGGGCCAGAGGTCACTGCCCAAGACCTTTCCTGTTCTTCCTTCTGTCCCTGTGGCTGTTTCAAGGTCAGGAACAAGGCCAGCAATGATGTCACCACAGTTCTCCTGGAGAGCACAGACTAGCAAGTTTAGCCCATTTTTCAACATCCCAGGGACATTTTGCTCTTTTGTTTTACAAGAATAGGACAGGCGCACGTGTCCCACCAGTAGCCACTGGGACACTGAGTCAGAGGAAGGAGACACCATCATCCTCTGACAGGGGACGTGGGACTTGGAACCGCCCTTCATGGCACAGTCACCTGAGCAAACACGGGCGCATGGTTGTGGTGACAAGAAATCCTTTCAAATACATAATATCAGGCCATTTTAGGGCCTTACATTCTCTCATTCATAAGTACTTATTTAGTGACATCACATGTCAAGCAGCAGACTGGACTCTGAGGACACACAGCGGCCAGACATAGACCTGGCTCTCACATTGCTGGGGGCTCTAGGAGGTAGTGAGACATGGAAACAGATAACGACAATAAGGCGTGACGTGTTGGAACAGGAGCACGGGTAGGGTCTGTGGAACCCAGACTAGAAGAGCTCATCTTCAGGAGCCAAAGGGAGCACCCTTTGATGTGGGGTGTCTCAGTACCTGGCACTTTGGGACCTGCAGACTGAGGGGACACCAGCCAGGTCCAGGGGCAGAGGAGTGGGAGGAACAGCATACTAGTAAGAGGGAATGACGCGGACAAGCACGTTCCATGGAGGGGTACCAGGAGCACGAGTTTCTCTGCTTGACCTAATTCAGCAGTTTGCTGACTGTTTGGGGTAGAGGGTAACTGCTTTCAAACCCCATACACCAGCAATGAAACAAAATCCCCGAGACACAAGTCCCTCTCAGCTGTCCCCATCACATTCTCCCCAGGCCGCCAGCTGCTTGCAGCAACCCAGCTACATCTGAGGTCTCATTTCCTGTTGTCGGAAATGGCTTCCTTCAGGCCCTAAGCTTTGATTTCAGAAAAGCATGTAAAGCACAGCGGACAGACCACTCACCCATAAAGTCTTCCTGCTGCTTCTTAACCATTTAAGGCTTCAGATGTCATGTCAAGGTGTGAGAGGCTCTAACCGAAAAGGTCTTGCTACATTTATGGTTCTCCTTTATCGCTTCACCAGCTCAAATTCAAACCACAAGTCTGGCTTTGCGACTATGTAGGCCACAGTCTGGCCTATGAAGGACCCATATGTAGGGTAAAGTTAACCCCAGCATTTGTTCCCCAGTATTTATTCGTAATAGCAGAAAGATTATTTTTTCTAAAAAAAGTATTTAAATCGGGGTGAATATAGGTAATAATTATATATCTGTTTCTGGAATTTACACAGCTCTTAACAAAGATGAAAATTTATGGTGACTTGGAAAATGCCAGCAGAAGACAATGTTAAGCAGAAAAATAAAATGTGGAGAAGTCTATGTACATTATGAGTACAACCATGCAAGAAATTTAAATATGAAAAATGCTGGAAAGAAATCCATCCAAATGCAAATGGGTTAAATTAGTGCAATGTGATTATAAATCTTTCCATTTTTTCCTGTTTCCTATATTGCATTTGTAATGTCTCTAAGTTTGAATCTTAGGAAAAGTATCAATTTTTAGAGCTATCAATTTGAATACTTTTAAATGAAAGTCACACACACACACACACACACACACACACACACACACGAGTAAAGGAGACCATGGTCAGTGCAGGGCTCCTATGGGACTGTATTGCCTCCTTGAGCGAGTGCACTGGGCCCACCTCCTCCCCACTCATGACTGCTGGTAGTATTTTCATAGCCACACGTGCAGGGGTTAAGTCACAGTGCCCCCAAGAACCTGAGAAAGACATTTCAGAAGGTCGAGAGCCAGACTCAAGCCTCTCTCTGTAAGTCAGCACCATTCATGGGCTGCAGAGGGACAGAACCAGGCCTCACCAAGAGGTGATTTCCACCTGGAAACCAGCGCAATGCGTGGGCCACTGCTGGATGGAGGATAGCCAGACCCAAGCCTCTCTTCGTGAGTTAGTGCCATTCACAAACCGCGGGGACAGAACCAGGCCTCACCAGGAGGAGATTCCCACCTGGAAACCATATCATTTTCATTGCTTTTTTGGATTGGGTTTTATTCTCTTTTGTTTTATGTTAAATCTGATGGCATGAGCAGCTGTTTTAAAAAACAGCAAGACATATTATGGTAGCCATTATGTATTTATTACTGGCTTGTTTTGAAGTCTTTTCTTGCATTCATTGTTTTGTTTTTATTGTTTCTATTCTATTCTGTTCTGTTCGAGTTTTACTATGTCCACAGGTATCTGCAGCTATCTTGAAGACAACAAAAGGCATTATGGTAATCATCGTTGATTTCGTAAGGTTTTGAAGTCCTGTATCACTTATACTGGTTTATTTTGATTGGTTTTATTTTGTTTTATTTTTATCCTCTTTAAAATTAAAAAAAAAAAGAATAAAAAAAGAGAAAGTCCAGCTGAAGGCATTATAAGAGGGGGAGCTGAACAACACATCTTAAAGCTCTTTGAATCAGGTTTTGAAATATCATCACTGCTTAGGACTCCTTAGGGCTCTGGCAAGAAGGGTACCCTGGGGCTACAGTTCTAATGACTTCCCTGACTTTTCTGACCCCAACGTGTTCTTAGTTTGGGACGAAATTGGTTGATTTCCTGTGTTTCTGTTCCTCCAGATGTTCACAGTGTTGGTAATGTGCACCAGTGGGATGGGGGAAGAGGGCCCACGTGGCCATTAGAGGGAAGGCACGCAGGCAAAGATTCCTGTTCTTGCTTGACAACTACGAAAGCTCAACTTGAAGAGCATGAACTGTTTTCATCCTTTCAGAGCATGGGAGGCTAAATCAGCTTTGGTTACAGCAAGAGTTATTATTTAGGTTACATTACAACAAACTTCTTCAAAGCAGAAAGAATTGCTAATGGCAGCTGTGGAATTTCCTTTTCTAGAGATTTTAACAATAGGTTAGATATACATCTGACCTTGAGCGCCTCAGGCATGGCATACCCAGAAACAGACTGAACAAAAATAGCACACCCACAAAGCCCTCTGGTGTGTCCCAGCACTTCTCCCACGGATTTTAACAGACAGATATTTAAAAACAGCTGATACCTCCCCCCACCTTCCCTTGATGAATCAACCTCTGAATCCCATTATTCTCAGAATAAATTCAGAAAGATGACCAGCAGGCATTTACCTGTACTAGGAGTTCCAGCTTCCTGTCATCAAGAAGATGGACTTGACATCGACGGCCCTCCGTCATCTAAAAGGGAAGAGAAATGGTGGTCACTGAGAGTCCAGAAGTCAGACAAAGGGTTGGAGGGTCCCTGTTCTGGCTCCATCAAGCAGATTCCTGGGTGAAGCATTCCCTGGGGAGCTGGCACCACATAATGCTGCGGATTGGCAGGACTGCTTCACTGGCTTAGTCAAAAATATTTACTGAGCACTTTCTACACACCAGGCACTATTCTGGAAGCTAGGGGTAAAGTGTTTATACAATTTAATTTTTAATGAAGAGATTTATTTAGGATAACTGGGATCCAAAATTTTTGCAAATGTTATAATGACTCTAGTGAGCTAGCTCATGCAGTTCCTTCCAGGCCAGTATCTCACATGACTTGATAGCTTCCATGAAAGATACTGTTCCACAGTAACCAGCCTCCTTAAGCAGAACAAAAGAAAGGGCGCACATAAGCAGATTCTGGCCTTGTCTTATTGCAGAGCCATTGGAGAGTTTCTCATGAGCACTTTGCTTATCATCTGCATGCCCCAAACTAACCTATTATATACTATGAGAAAAGTCCCTTATTTCTGCCTCAAACAGCCATCCCGTCGTGCTTCCATGGAGTCAGATGTTCCTAGTTTTAAGATCTAAATTAATCAACACATGTGGCTTGGGCTGGTCAAATCTCAAGTATCTCTGAATTCTGAGTTATTATAATGACTCAACACTCTCTAGCTCTGAAAAATACCAAGAAAAGCTTGATCAACTCATAAGGAGTCTATCAAAGCAATTAAAATAGATTATAACTGGGTAGAACCTAGCCCAGAGGCTTGCCATTTTCATATACAACCAGGAGGCTATGGATAAGAAATATGTCTATGAGACGTCCTTATTCACTTTCTGAACACAACCTTAAGTAACTGCCTTAGTAAGCAGACTGGAGTTCTAATGATCTGTCAACCATGCACTTAGTAGGTATTATGATGGACTTAATTTTAAAAATCCGTCAGCTTCATTTTAATCATCCTGCTGTCAGATTCCGTGAAAGTCACATTTTAAAATTGGACCAAAATCTGCGCTGCCATACCACATCCATATATAATTCCCTCATCAAAACAAAAAAGTACACCAAAAATGATAAATTCAGATTTCAACAGGGCAGTTAATAGTCCTGCACTGTATGGAGCTATACAAGTTGCCGCTCCTTAGGGAGGGGCACAGAATGAAGTTTTCTCTAGGAAGGGAGGTTGTGCGATCATCCGGCAGATTCTTTGAAAAACACTTGTCACAGGTTTGAAAAAATTCTCAGCAGAGAAGATACAGGAAGAATTTTGTGAAAGAAATACTGCTTGTGCTTTGCATTTTCCAACAATGCTCTGAGCTACCTTACATTACAGAATCTGAAGGGTACACACATGCTTTCAAGCCACGTATTCAAATTCTAGTCAGCTTTCTAAAGACAACTTAGTACCTAAAAGATATTATTATAGCAAATAAAGTTTTAATCACAGTAATAAAAACAAAGAGCTAGTTCGTCACTTTCTCAAAAAATATTTTAAAGCATGTAAAGTTCAGAATTATACATTTACCCTGAAAGTCTTAGTTTCAACTGGAGAACAATATTTTCATTAAATTAAACAACTTCACTTCATCTGCTCAGCTATTCAAGGAAGTACCTTGTTGTAGTCAGGGTTTACCAGGGAAACATTTTAATATAGGACACACAATTTATAGGATAATTTTACGATGATCACCCAAAGAGTCAAACGCAAAGGAGTGCAGATCTGTCCACACATTAGAGATCCAAAGAATCCAGCGGAGGGCCTGGATCCCATGGTCCTGCACTGGATCCGGGAAGCATCTCTCAAAGTAAGGACCAGTGCTCCCCCAAAGAGAACTGCAGCCATCCTCAGCAACAAGGGCTTCTCCAATGGTACCTGAGTTCCAATCAGGAAAACCAGTGTGACAAGCTTCTCCAGGAAAACCAAGAGTACAGTGTTTCCCCTCCAGTTCCCTTTTTATGCTGTTGGCAACGATCCTGAGGTGGGCCATCCACACCCAGCATCACGCTGATTCAGTTCAGCTGAGTGTTACAGGTGCTCATGAGTTAATCCACAACAATCCACCTTGATCACTTTAATAACCAGACACATTTCCTCAAGCCACAGTTTTCAGTGGTAGATTTGTGAAAAGTTAAGATTTCTTGTTCTATTCAGATTTATATTAATATAACAATTACACAGATGCAATTCTTATTGCACTCATTTTTGCCCCAAAAACAAAATATTCAAAGAGTGTTCAAAATTGAAGGTTAAAACCACAACACTTTGACTAATTAACCTGGTCATAAACGTCTCTAAAAACTACGTTAAAATCGTATTAGAAGAGTTATTACAATCACAATCCTTGCTTCCCATTAATTTAATAACAGGGCATGGCAATACTAAAAAACAGGGATCTCCTGCTTTTCCAATACATTCTTCTTGTCTCTTTTGAATGGTCATTTTTCACTGTCCTGTTTCTTCTCAATAACTATGTTCTCCTCTATTTCATTCTTGTGATCTACAGCTCCACTGGAGCCCTCTCTCTGACCAAATACTTCACATCACCTTGCTGGCCCTTTACTCTTAGTTTTGAACATAGATCTGGCCAAGAGCTTTCAACAGAGGACTGCACTGAAATTTTCCTGACACCCATGCAATATCTCTAAACATAAGCAAAATGCAGAGCAATAGCCCACTAAAGCTCCATGTGTAGACCCACCAGACAACGCAGTCCTCAGAAGCCTCTGAAGCTTCAGCCTAACCAGCAGTATTTTCTGATTTCCCAGGCTGTGACCAGAGTATGCCATGTAGTTTACAATGCATAAGCCTGCCTCTTAGGCCAGTCTCTTAAAACCTTCCAAATTAATTCCAAAAAATCTTAAACCACATGGCCAGGCAATGTCACAGCAATGACCCCACTCCTTGTACCAAATTCTTAGTTATTTTTCTTTCACTGCTGAGACAAAATACCCAACACTCACAAGTTAAGAGAGGAAAGGTTTATTTAGCTCATAGTTTGAAGAAGTTTCAGTCCTTCATTAGCTAAGGCAGAATAACACATGGCAGAGGGGCAACAGTTCATGGCAGCAGAAAATAGCAAAAGTAATGAGAGAGAGAGAGAGAGAGAGAGAGAGAGAGAGAAAGGGAGAGAAAGAGAGGGGCCTCTATCTCTCCCTTATCTATTACCTTACCTAGTATTCAGTCTACTGGGGTCAGGGTAGTGCCAATCCAATCAGTGGCCCAATCCAGCACCTTAATCCCAGCACCCTTAATCCTAGCATTGTACCACCAACCAATCACATACTCTACATCCAGCCATCTCTGAAAAAGGCCCAAGAGGCTTTGGGGGACATCTAGACACAAACTGTAACAGTTATATATGGAGATGTCAGTATCTACTCCTGGACAATTTTCAAGCAGGCCTCACATTTTAAATATCTCTGCAAAATAGTTGGCACAGAGAAGGCAGTCTGGACTAAAACTCAGGCTTGATTCATGCTTATGAAGGCACAACTTTCTGTGGCAGCAATACTGTGGCTGTTTCTCAAAAGGACACCTGTTTGTTGTTCCATTCTCCAGCAAGATTGAACCACCCTGTTTTCATCCTTAGTTCAAAAAAGGGTCACCCTCGTGGGTGTGTACTGACAGAACAGACATCTGTAGCTTTGTTTGGCTTGCCAGCCACACTGAAGTTTTCTTCTGAATACTAACAATCATAAAATAATACTGCTTTCCTTTCCTTTTCTTTCTTTTCTTTTTTTCCCCCATTTTCAGCTGCTCGGGCACAAGTGGAGCCTTGGCATCACCCTCAAAGGAAATCCTTTGGAGAACAAGGCTTCACATAGATGCAGCTGGCATTTATTCGAACCACAAACTGTCTTGCTACAGTGCACTCCCTCACCAAGCCCAGGCCTGCCAAGTGCTCCATGACTGAGGGGGATGCATGGAAAAGTGTTATTCTGAAAGCGAGGTGTCCACCCCACTTCATCCAGCTTGGCTGTCAAACTGTCCTGCACTGGAACAGGGATTAGAAGGCAAAACTAAAAGCATTGGATGTGCTAGAGCATCAGGCTTTTGGATGGCTCTTTCCTCCCTTGCCCCATCCAAATATTATTTAACAATTTTCCTCCCTCCAACCGGCTAAAAGAGGATAAAAAAAGTACTGTATTTGGAAAGATGAATGACACTGTTTGAGGTCAGCCATAAGAAACAGAGCTTGACAAGATTCTTTCTCAGCAAATTCAATTAGCTGGACTTCTATTTTTAACACATGAAATCGAGTTTATTAATTTACAAACGAGAACCAGAGCTGTCACTGGAGCCAGACTACTCCAGATCGAATGTCTGACACGTTGTCTCCCTGTAGACAGCATGAATGGGCAGCCAGCTATGACCTGAAGTGGTCCCGGGGAGTCAGAATCAAGAGAGGAGAGCAGAAACATCGAGGCTGGCGGGCATCCACCTGCAGCAGCTCAGGTTGGAAATGCTACAGGACGTGACTCTGGAAACAGGCTCCTTTTCATAGAAGTGCAAGGCAGCTGGGCAAGTGGTAACATAGCCACAGATCCTGGCCCCTCCAAAACACGTGTGGTTTAAAATAAAAACTAAAGAAAAGCCTATCAACACAGATTGTTATTATGTTTCCTCAACACACAAGGCTTGTTCACACTGAAATGGGATGGTAGCACCCCTGGAGAAGAAGGGGACAGGGCGGAGGAGGCACCTGCTTAGGGTCATGATCACCACGGGCCTGCAAATGGTCTTTGACCAAGTTTAGTAGCCAGAGTAAAGCAAGTTACCAAATTGTGACTCACACGCATTTCTGACACAGTGCTTCTACTTTACCTACTCATGTAAGTTTTTTATCTAAATGGACAAATGCCTTTGTGGTATTGAGATGGAACCTAGGGATTTGAAATGGAGCTACATCTCCACCCCACCTCTGCCTTTTAGTTTTTCATTCTGTGACAGGATCGTTGCTAAGTCACTAAGATG